CAGAAACTAAGGAAAGAATATTGAAGGCTGTAAGAGAGAAAAAACAAGTAACATACAAAGGTAAACCCATCAAAATCACAGCAGACTTCTCAACAGAAACATTAAAAGCAAGAAGAGCGTGGGGTGAGATCTTCCGGGCACTGAATGAAAATAACTTCAACCCCAGGATACTCTACCCAGCAAAGCTATCATTCAAAATAGATGGAGCAATAAAAGTCTTCCATGATAAGCAGAAACTAAAACAATATGTGACCACAAAGCCACCATTACAAAAGATTCTGCAAGGGATCTGCACACAGAAAGTGACACCCAACTTAACCATGAAAAGGCAGGCAGCACCAAACCACAGGAAAAGAAAAAGCAAGACAGTAGAGAGTAACATCAAGTTAGGTACACACAATCAAACCTTCAAACAACTAAGACAACTAAATGACAGGAATCACCACATACCTATCAGTACTAACTTAATGTTAATGGACTTAATTCACCCATCAAAAGACACCGTTTGACAAAATGGATTAAAAAAGAAGATCCAACAATTTGTTGCTTACAGGAGACTCATCTCACCGACAGAAATAAGCATATGCTTAGGATGAAAGGCTGGAAGAAGATTTACCAAGCCAATGGCCCCGAAAACAGCAGGAGTAGCAATACTTATCTCTGACAAAGTAGACTTCAAACCTACATTGATCAAACGAGATAAAGAAGGACATTCCATACTAATAAAAGGGGAAATAGACCAAAAGGAAATAATAATCATCAATCTGTACGCACCCAATGTCAACGCACCCAATTTCATCAAACATACCCTGAAAGACCTAAAAGCATATATAAACGCCAACACAGTGGTTGTGGGAGACTTTAACACCCATTATCATCAATAGATAGGTCATCCAAACAAAAACTCAATAAAGAAATCCAAGATCTAAAATATGCAATAGATCAAATGGACCTAGTAGATGTCTACAGAACATTTCATCCAACTCTACACAATATACATTCTTCTCAGCAGCCCATGGAACCTTCTCCAAAATAGATCATATCCTAGGGCACAAAGCAAGCCTCAGCAAATATAAGAAAATAGAAATAATACCGTGCATACTATCTGACCACAATGCAGTAAAAGTAGAACTCAACAACAAAAGTAAAGACAAAAAACATGCAAACAGCTGGAAACTAAATAACTCATTACTTAATGAAGAATGGATCATCGATGCAATAAAAGAGGAAATTAAAAAGTTCCTGGAAGTCAATGAAAATGAAAACACAACCTACCGGAACCTATGGGACACAGCTAAGGCAGTCTTGAGAGGAAAGTTTATAGCCATGAGTGCATATATTAAAAAGATGAAAGATCCCAAATCAATGACCTAATGATACATCTCAAACTCCTAGAAAAACAAGAACAAGCAAATCCCAAAACAAATAGAAGGAGAGAAATAATAAAAATAAGAGCTGAAATCAACGAAATAGAAACCAAAAAAACCATACAAAGAATTAATGAAACAAAAAGTTGGTTCTTTGAAAAAATAAACAAGATCGATAGACCCCTGGCAAACCTGACTAAAATGAGGAGAGAAAAAACCCAAATTAGTAGAATCAGGAATGCAAAAGGGGAGATAACAACAAACACCATGGAAGTCCAGGAAATCATCAGAGACTACTTTGAGAACCTATATTCAAATAAATTTGAAAATCTAAAAGAAATGGACAGATTTCTAGATACATATGATCATCCAAAACTGAACCAAGAGGAAATTAATCACCTGAATAGACCTATAACACAAAATGAAATTGAAGCAGCAATCAAGAGTCTCCCCAAAAAGAAAAGTCCAGGACCTGATGGATTCTCTGCTGAATTCTATCAGACCTTTAAAGAAGAACTGATACCAACCCTCCTTAAACTGTTCCATGAAATAGAAAGGGAAGGAAAACTGCCAAACACATTTTATGAAGCCAGTATTACACTTATCCCAAAACCAGGCAAAGACACCTCCAAAAAGGAGAACTATAGGCCAATCTCCTTAATGAACATTGATGCAAAAATCCTCAACAAAATAATGGCAAACCGAATTCAGCAACACATCAAAAAGATTATTCACCACGACCAAGTAGGCTTCATCCCAGGGATGCAGGGGTGGTTCAACATACGAAAATCAATAAACGTAATAAACCACATTAACAGAAGCAAAGACAAAAACCACTTGATCATCTCAATAGATGCAGAAAAAGCCTTTGATAAGATCCAACATCATTTCATGATAAAAGCTCTAAGAAAACTAGGAATAGAAGGAAAGTACCTCAACATTATAAAAGCTATATATGACAAACCTACAGCCAGCATTATACTTAACGGAGAAAAACTAAACCCATTCCCTCTACAATCAGGAACCAGACAAGGATACCCACTATCTCCACTCCTATTCAACATAGTACTGGAATTCCTCGCCAGAGCAATTAGGCAAGAAGAAGGAATAAAAGGAATACAAATAGGTAAAGAAACTGTCAAAATATCCCTATTTGCAGATGACATGATCCTATACCTTAAAGACCCAAAAAACTCTACTCAGAAGCTTCTAGACATCATCAATAGCTATAGCAAGGTAGCAGGATATAAAATCAACATAGAAAAATCATTAGCATTTCTATACACTAACAATGAGCAAACGGAAAAAGAATGTATGAAAACAATTCCATTTACAATAGCCTCAAAAAAAATCAAATACCTAGGTGTAAACCTAACAAAAGATGTGAAAGACCTCTACAAGGAAAACTATACACTTCTGAAGAAAGAGATTGAGGAAGACTATAGAAAGTGGAGAGATCTCCCATGCTCATGGATTGGTAGAATCAACATAGTAAAAATGTCGATACTCCCAAAGTAATCTACATGTTTAATGCAATTCCCATCAAAATTCCAATGACATTCATTAAAGAGATTGAAAAATCTACTGTTAAATTTATATGGAAACACAAGAGGCCACGAATAGCCAAGGCAATACTCAGTCAAAAGAACAATGCAGGAGGTATCACAATACCTGACTTCAAACTATATTACAAAGCAATAACAATAAAAACAGCATGGTACTGGCACAAAAACAGACATGAAGACCAGTGGAACAGAATAGAGGACCAGATATGAAGCCACACAACTATAACCAACTTATCTTTGACAAAGGAGCTAAAAATATACGATGGAGAAATAGCAGCCTCTTCAACAAAAACTGCTGGGAAAACTGGTTAGCAGTCTGCAAAAAACTGAAACTAGATCCATGTATATCACCCTATACCAAGATTAACTCAAAATGGATCAAGGATCTTAATATCAGACCCCAAACTCTTAAGTTGATACAGAAAGAGTAGGAAATACTCTGGAGTTAGTAGGTATAGGTAAGAACTTTCTCAATGAAACCCCAGCAGCACAGCAACTAAGAGATAGCATAGATAAATGGGACCTCATAAAACTAAAAAGCTTCTGTTCATCAAAAGAAATGGTCTCTAAACTGAAGAGAACACCCACAGAGTGGGAGAAAATATTTGCCAACATACATCAGACAAAGGACTGATAACCAGAATATACAGGGAACTTAAAAAACTAAATTCTCCCAAAACTAATGAACCAATAAAGAAATGGGCATGAACTAAACAGAACTTTCTCAAAAGAAGAAATTCAAATGGCCAGAAAACACATGAAAAAATGCTCACCATCTCTAGCAATAAAGGAAATGCAACCTAAGATTCCACCTCACCCCTGTTAGAATAGCCATCATCAGCAACACCACCAACAACAGGTGTTGGCGAGGATGCGGGGAAAAAGGAACCTCTTACACTGTTGGTGGGAATGTAGACTAGTACAACCACTCTGGAAAAAAATTTGGAGGCTACTTAAAAAGCTGGACATCGATCTACCATTTGATCCAGCAATACCACTCTTGGGGATATACCCAAAAGACTGTTACTCCAGAGGCACCTGCACATCCATGTTTATTGCGGCACTATTCACAATAGCCAAGTTATGGAAACAGCCAAGATGCCCCACCACTGACGAATGGATTAAGAAAATGTGGTATCTATACACAATGGAATTTTATGCAGCCATGAAGAAGAACGAAATGTTATCATTCGCTGGTAAATGGATGGAATTGGAGAACATCATTCTGAGTGAGGTTAGCCTGGCCAAAAACCAAAAATCGTATGTTCTCCTCATATGTGGACATTAGATCAAGGGCAAACACAACAAGGGGATTGGACTTTGAGCACATGATAAAAGCGAGAGCACACAAGGGAGGGGTGAGGATAGGTAAGACACCTAAAAAACTAGCTAGCATTTGTTGCCCTTAACGCAGAGAAACTAAAGCAGATACCTTAAAGCAACTGAGGCCAATAGGAAAAGGGGACAGGAACTAGAGAAAAGGTTAGATCAAAAAGAATTAACCTAGAAGGTAACACCCACGCACAGGAAATCAATGTGAGTCAATGCCCTGTATAGCTATCCTTATCTCAACCAGCAAAACCCTTGTTCCTTCCTATTATTGCTTATACTCTCTCTACAACAAAATTAGAAATAAGGGCAAAATAGTTTCTGCTGGGTATTGAGGGGGGGGAGGGAGGGGGCGGAGTGGGTGGTAAGGGAGGGGGTGGGGGCAGGGGGGAGAAATGACCCAAGCCTTGTATGCACATATGAATAAAAAAAAAAAAAAAAAAAAAATAACAATCATAGGGGGCTGGAGGTATGGCTGGCATGTTAGAGCACCTGCCTTAAAAGTATGAAGTTCCTGAGTTCACAAAACCCAGTAAGGGTAAAGATAAGCAAAAATATAAATATGAACCTTAAATTCTTTATGCTGTGTGCAAGTTTCCTCTTTTTCTCGTCTACACACCCACAAATTTCTTCTTTTAATGAGACAGAAGCTCAACAAAGACCAATTTCCCTCCCAAAAGAAAAGAAAATATTCTGGGAGCTCTAGAGATTGCAGTGGGTAAGACGCGGAGATCGAAACCTGGCTGTTGACGTTAAAATAATGTGGATTGAGGGGAAGCAAAGAGATTATTTTCCATACCAGGCTGTTTGAGCTTCTCTGTGGCATTTTTTACCATGCTGAAAAACAGAAAAAAAAAGGGCAAAAATAGCCTATCATGCAGTTTTTGCCAAGTTGTCATGGCTATATGAGCACTCACTAAATTTTGCTCTTTCTCAGCACCCATTACAATTAAAAAGTAAATAATGCAGATGAAGACAAATAAATAAATTTTCTTTTCAAAACCTGGTAAGTAACTCTCCAGGACTTGACTAAGAGTTAATCCTCGTAGAACTTGCCTTGTCTCACTGTGGCTTAAAAAGCAACGTGCTATGATCTCACTAGCATACCATTTCTAGGAACTGTCCAGGCAAAGGCTTATAAAGGCGGAGACCTCTGTTGACACAGGTCTTTTCTTCTCTACTCCACTCAACTCATGTCTCAACCTTATGCTGTGCCATTTTCAGCCTGGGCCTCACATACTTGCCTAAAATTAACTTAATTATGAAGAAACTGATCTACTTGTATTCATTTACTATTCAAGCATGTTATAGCTACTTGGGTACATCAAGTGTGATGCAGGACAAAGCATTTTGTATCAAGACATTCTTTACCTACTACAAAGAAGACCATTTACAAAAAGGTCTCTAACTGAAAAGATAAATAATTTACACAATTCACGTTACATTAAATGCTAGTTTTAAATTAATCATCCTGAAGTGGTCTGCTGCTGCAGATGATTTTTACACTGTAAATTGACAAAAAAAAAAAAAAAATTGCTGAATGCTTAATTTTTAACACCAGTGGATTTTCTTCCTGGCTGCATATACATATCAGAAGGAGAGCCTTCCAGAAATTCCGCTCACCAAGGCTCACCATAACGAAAATAATCAGAATCTCTGGAGTAAGATTCTAGCACTTAGCAGTTTTTAAAAAATCTTCCAGATGACTTTTAACACACAAAGTGGAGTCACCAATTTAATACTGGTGCTTCTCAAAATCTCCTTACCCATTTACTTAAGTTCCTGTCTTGGGCTTTGGTCAGGCTTCAAGTTATACGGTCAGTGAATTTAACATGATGCTAACCCCAACAAAAAATAACGCTTTCCGCTTTATCCTGTTAATATTCTTTTTTTTTTTTTTTCTGGTTGAAAATCTGCTGCTACTTCTAATTTTACAGATGAAACAGCTTTAAAATGTAGGATAAGCCTGGTAAAATAAAGTCAACATACTTCTGTTTACTTACCTATGGAGTCAAGGATTTTGACATTACAACATAATAAAAATAGAATTAAATTGGATACCAGAGATCTCACTCTTTTTTTTTTAAGTGAAGCCAACTAGTAAAGTTTATTAGGAGAAGTAAACTTTAGTATACCATGGATAAAGTAGGGAGACTGAGGAAAATGGGAGAAAACATCTTCTGTTCTTTCATTCTAGGAAATGGGAGTAGAGACTTTGAGAAACCATATTCTTATATACAAAAATGCTACAATTATTTTCAAAATTGATTGATCTTTAAGTAAATGTCATAAATCTGAACTAAGAAAGTTTATATTAATGAAATCCCTACAACCTGAAAGAATTCTGCCATATCAACGGCATTAAGCTGCTAACTTGAATATACTTTCTGTAATGCGTTCATTTTCTATCTATGGCAAAATTAGTTAAAAATAATTCTTCTCTAAACTTGATGCAAAAATTTGCGTTCTCTATACTTGAAATTGCCAACGTCTAGATATTCACAAATAAAATATCATTAGAATTACTTAACAAATAATACATATCATACAATACATACACCACATACACCACAACATAGACTTTTACCCTTCAATCATAGAATGCTTTTTTAAGTCATTGGGCCAAATATAAATCTCTGATGGCTTTGGTCCTGTATACTTGCCATTTTCCAAGTATCAAAGAGCAGCCATTTCTACCACATAGATGTAATGCAGGGCAGGCTGTCAAACTGGAAATTATTAACTGCAGAAAAGTAAAAACTGACAAGTGTAATGGAGAATGTTTTCTTAACCCAATAACTTATTACCTTAAAATGAATCAAAGTACACTTTATTCTGAAAATTACCAATGTAATAAATGTAAAGTGTATTCTATTGCGCCTGACCTTAGAACTAGTAACGCAGCAATTTAAAATATGGCAGAGGTAAAACACAACAATACCATGATGTACCAGAAATTTATTTTTGCGACAGGGGGATTTGTAGTGCAGACAAAGAGATTTTCAACCCCATATACAGTAAACTAACCAGCATGTTTCCCATTATAACCAGCAGTACTGTGACTTTCTCACTAATACTTCTTAATTTCTAAAATATAAATACTTATTACTAATACAGTCGTTTTGGCGAAAAACATACTCCTGGCAATTTTCAGCGATTATTTAAAGATGGTGTCTAACTTTTAGCCTCTAGTATAATCCAAAGTTGGCAGCTAACACTAAAATGGACCACATTACCTGAGATTCCACGGACATGCTTGTTTTAAAAGTATGTGCTTTACATCAAACCAAACTGCAAGATTTAGACCTTTTCAATAAGCAATTACATTCACCTTTTTAAACATCTAAAAATTTGGAAAAGAAAACAATTCTTTCCTGGATTATTTCTTTTTGTAGGACTAAGCAATGACAATCCTCATCAGTGACAAAATACCTTCAAAAAGCTACAGAAGGCTATAACTTTTCAACCATTCAATACTGTGCCCTAGGAAATATTTAAGGAAATTTTTTTTTTGAACTCTTAATCTGTAACACAAAGAACAAAGTAAAAAATTAAAAAATGAAAACTTTAGTGTACAATCGACTCGTTACATGATTACATGTGTTAGAATGTATATCTTAAATTTTTTCCAATGTTTTCCTTAAAAAAAAAAAAAAAGGCAGGAAGGCATAAGTAATCTGAATTAGATTTAAAATTTGGACTACTGCTAAAATAGTTCTGGAGGAACTGGTTTTGTGGAGATAAACAGGTGTCACTGGATATATAAAAGAACATTATACTTACTCTCGACATTCCAAGTTGGGTTCCTACTAATTGCAGCTGGTCTGGTGCTAACATGAATGTCATCTGGTGCTGGAGATTTTCCATAGTATGCCGATGCCCCAATGTACATCACCAATGTTTGTTTGTCAGTAAGTCTGGGGTAATTTAGCAAATCATACTCGGAGGCAGCTATAAAGGTAATGAAAACTTACTTAGACAAGAAATCTATATGAAGGAATGTTAAATATATAAAAAATCAAAGGTTGGAAAAAGATTTATAAAGAGCTCTGTGAAGCTGAAACCTTCTGGGCAAGCTCTTTGCCAGTACGATTAGTTTAAAAGACCTGTTAGCTCCCACCGGAATAGGCCTCAGGTGGAAAACGTGAACTAGTCTCCAGACATTTAGACAGAAAGAGTGATCACGAGATTCAGAAACAAATGAGGTGAGCCTTTATGACTGCCTTGAGAAATTTTTCAGGCGTGCAGAAGTGGGGAAAGGAGGCAGAGCATAAGAAGACTCTCTTAGTTTGAGAAGATGGGGATTGAAGTCTAGGGAGAAGCAAGGCAAATTATAGGTTATACGGACATGAGTGCAAGGAGAAAGCAGCACATACGAGAAAGCCCTAGGAGATGCAGCGAGCCTCCTGAAGTACTCTGTTGGAAATCATTCCCCAAGGTCTGGAAAACTATCTGAGTGGATTTAGAAAGAAACTAATCATTTGTGTCCACAATGCTGTTTCATCACAGAGAGACTGAATGGCATATTCAGGGATGTTTTGCCTCTGCAGTGAGGAGCAATTAACCAGACTGAGCACCACAACCAGACCCATGTACAAATCATAAAAGTGGGAACTGAAAGATCAAACTTGTTTCTGAGTACTCAACCACCATTTTGAACATAAAGCTCAACAAGATTTTGAGAAGGACAAAAACATCCTAATACCAATTCAAAGTCAATATTACAATGTCAGACTGCTACTTCAATAGATTAACAAGCATTGCAAACGAGGGAAAAAAGAAACTCCACACTAGAGAATAAGACATACACTTGAAACATTAATTGAAATTGAACCAAGATGTTAGAAATGTAGCAGAGAAAAATCCAAATATTATTTTATAACAGTTTTCTAATAATGATTTAAACAAGATTAAATTCAGGGTATGAGAGATACATGCCTGTTAATCTAGGTGGTTTTTCGATTGCCAGCATTATTGGGAGGCAGAAGCAGGAAGATCAATCACGAAGTTCAAAGCCAGCGATCTAATCTTAAAAACAAAAAAAAGTCACTATGAAACGCCTGAGCAAAGATGAACAACAACACAATGAGCAGAAGGCTAAGAGGATAGAAAGAATATGAGGGTGGGGGACGAGAGGGAGGAGGGGAGGAGAGTGGGACAAATATGGAAAATGAAGAGAGACTTGCACCTCGCGCTTGTTAGACACATGGATCCAGCCTTGCTAAGGCTTGGTGAGGGTGGTTTGGGCTGGAGAATTGTTACTATCCACTCTAGTTTTTTGAGTAATGCAGAAGTATCTTTCACCTTTTACCTTCGCTTCACGATGGATAGAACTCCTGCTCTGTACGCAGCCCCTATGCTGTAACCTGGCCTACACAATCATTTTTCAAGGGAGGGTGACTATTTGGGAACGTAGCTTTCGGCAAGATTGTGTGCATGCACTTGTTTTACAGGCTCTTCATGCTTGACAATGCCTGACCTCAGCCTCTCCTGGACCCAACACTCACATGGGAGGCCTGGCGCCCTCCCCTTCTGATCACTGGAGAAAAAACAAGGAGCTGCTGTGCCTTTTCTCAATAATCCTTATTAGGAAGTGGATGCCTCAGGCCCTTCCTCTACCAGCACTTTCTCCTAACGTGATTGGTCATGCACATGTGCCTGGCTCTTCACCTGACTGAGTCCCCCTGAGAGCAAAGAAACCAGGGACTTGCCCTACTTATCTCCTCAAGACAGCATGGGCTGGCATGCATGGGTCGTGGTGATGGAGTAGTGGGAG